AGCCACCATACCTCTTCTTCAAATGGAGTTTCCTCACTCTTTCTTTCCCACAAAGGAGCAGGAAGTCATTTCAGGGTCCTTCAGGCAGAGCTGAAAGCCAACCTGTTCCTCCAGCCCCCTAATGGAACGGTTCAGCTCCTTTAATTGGCCTGATAAGTCACACATTGTCTTATGTATGCCTTTCAAGTCTAGTGCTAAGCAAAGGTTAAATGTTTCCCATTTCCTATATTGCACATAAATTCCCAAGTTTTATAATCCACTCCTTTAAAAAAAAAAAAAACAAACCTAGGGGCTGGGAATGTGGCTCAGTGGTAAAGCGCTTGCCTTGCATGCCTGAGGCCCTGGGTTCGATTCCCCAGCACCACATAAGCAAAAAGAAAAAACCCAGAAGTGGCACTGTGGCTCAAGTGGTAGAGCGCTAGCCTTGAGCTGAAGAGCTGAGGGACAGTGCCCAGGCCCAGAGTTCAGGCCCCACTACCGGACCCCCCCCCCAAAAAAAAAACCTAAGCCTGTCGCACTCCAGTGGCTCCCGCCTGTAAATCCTATCTACTCAAGAAGCTCAGATCTAGGATCACAGTTCAAAGCCAGCCCGTGAGACTCTTAGCTCCAATAAACCACCACAAAGCAGGAAGTGGCACTGTGGTTCAAGTGGTAGAGTGCTCACCCTAAGCTGAAGAACCAAGGGACGGTGCCCAAGCCGCGTTCAAGCCCTACAACTGATAAAAAAAAAAAAAGAGGCTGAGATCTGAGGATCAAAGTTTGAAGCCAGCCCTAGCAGGGGCAGGAAAGTCCTTGAAACTCTTGTCTCCAATCGACTACTCAGAAAAAGCCTGTAGCAGCACTATGCCTCAAGTGGTAGAATGCTAGCTTTGAGCAAAAGTGCCTAGGCTCTGAGTTCAAGCCTCAAGACTGACCAAAAACAAACACAAGACCAAAACAAAAACCCCCAAGCCTGCTCTATTACTAGTAACTGAATTTCTTTTTTTGTTTTTTCTGTGCCAGTCCTGGAGCTTAAACTCACGGCCTAGGAGTTGTTCCTGAGCTTTTGTTGCTCAAGGCTAGCACGCTACCACTTGAGCCAGTTCCACTAATGGCTTTTTGTTGGTTAAATGGACTTCCCACCCCAGGCTGGCTTTGAACCATAATCCTCAAATCTCAACCTCTTCAGTAGGACTGCAGATGTGACCCACTAGCACCTGGCTTGGTCACTAAATGTATACTCTATTACACTTTGTTGTGGACAGTGGGTTCCATTTCACCATTCCCAACCCAAGGCAGCACAGCACATGTTTGCATGGGCCTTTCCCAGCCCATCTCTTCTTGCTTTGTCCTTACCACCTTCAAAATTAGCTCTCTCAATTTGGGGGGCTGGTAGTTCATGCCTATAATCAGCTATTCATGAGGCTGAGATCTGAGGATCACAGTTCAAAGCCAACCAGGGCAGGAAAGATGCGAGTCTCAAAGTGGTAGAGCACTAGCCTTGAGCAAAAGAGCTCAGAGACAGCATCCAGGCCCCATGACTGACCAAAAAAAACACCACCAAAAACAACCTTAACCGGTGACTCATGCCTAAATCCTAGCTACTCAGGTGGCTGAAATTTGAGGATCACAGGCAAGCCAATTTGGACAAAAAAAGTCCATGAGAGGGGCTGGGAAGGTGGCTCAGTGGTAGAGCGCTTGCCTTGCATGCTCGAGGCCCTGGGTTCAATTCTTCAGCACCACATAAGCAAAAAGCCGGAGGTGGCACTGTGGCTCAAGTGGTAGAGCGCTAGCCTTGAGCTGAAGAGCTGAGGGACAACGCCAAGGCCCAGAGTTCAAGCCTCATGACCAACCAAAAAGAAAAGAATGAGAAGGGACTGCCGGCCTTTTATTGCTGAAAGAGGAGGTTGTGAAGGAACTGTACAAGAACACACTTGCTAAGCCTGGCTAAGGGCATCCACAGCTCTGCTGCACACACTCACCACTACCTCTGTATTCCCGTAACTGCTCCAACTGTCAAGCAAAGGGCAACAATCTGTCAAAAAGGGAAGAATCCAGAAGCCAAAAGGCACCTGCAGCTAAATGGTGAGGCTGTTTTCTTCCCCACTCTCTTCATCAGCTCGAGGGAAGGTGTCCAGTCCCCACCCCAGCAGCCTCTGCTATACCCCATCTCCAGCTGTCTCAAGGACCAGCATGCTAGTTAGCAGCCTTGATGGGCTCCGATGCTCCTGCAAAAATCTCCCACTCTGCATACCCCACTTCCCATGCTACCCTGAGGCAGGAAGGCCAAAGCAGCAATCAGTTCCAGCTTCTAGAAAGGGTTCCAAATACAGCCATGCTGAGCCTTTGTTCTTCTAGGCAACAGAGCAGCATCTAGTGGCCCATCTGGGTAGCACAGATTACATAACTCCAGCACACAGCAGGGCATCAGAGCACCAAAGCAAGCCCTGGCACCATGAAGATTAGTACCTAAAGGAGAGCCTCAGAGAACCAGTTCATGCATGGCCAACTGGCTCAGTGATGCCTAGACTAGCTCTTTGAAGAGATACAATGGCACAACTGCTGTTGTAATGGGATATTCCCAAACAACCACATTAAATTGGTAAAAGGGAGCCAGGCACTGGTGGCTCACACGAGTAATCCTAGCTACTCAGGAGGCTTGAGACCTGAAGATCGCAGTTTGAAGCCAGCCTGGATAAGAAAATTCCATGAAAGTCTTATCTCCAATGAATCACCAAAAAGCTGGAAGTGGAGCTGTGGCTCAAGTGGTAGAGTGCTAGCCTTCAGCACTTAATTGAGCAAAATGGCTCAAGGATAACACCCAAGCCCCCGAGTTCAAGCCCAAGAACCAGCACCCAAATAAAAGTGAAAGGAAAGAGGTAAATTTCATTTTATTTAACCTTAAACTCAATATACCCCAAATATTTCAACATATATAAATATTAAGATATTTTACACCTTCTTTCATACTAAACCTCCAAAGCCTGGCTTGTGAGTATGCTTAAAGCACGTGTGAACTAGTCACACAGGGCCTGCCAGCCACGTGTGATGAGGGACAATGAGGTCTAGCTGGAGCTATCAGACAGACAAGGGCAGAGAAAAGAACTGACTACTGTTTGGCCCCTCAAGCTTGTCCTAAATGTAGGAAATCCTCTCCCCTCCCCTCCAGCTCCAGGACACTATGAAGTTTGTTTTGTTTTTTTAATCCTTTGTAAAAGTAAAACTTCTGCAAGTAAAATTATATACAGAAACACAAGGCTAAAACTGAGTAGCAGAACTGCTTAAACTAAAGAGAGGTTTGGCAGGCCCCCAAAACACCCTCAGAAGACACATTCCTGGGGTCTGAGAGCAGCAGATTTGAAGATTCCAAAATGAGACCAAACTAAACCACAGCTGGCTTGTCAGGAAGTGCAAATGTCTTCATCTGACCCTCACATCACAATAACCTACCATAGGAACACCTTCCTTATTGCACAGCTGAGGAAGCGGACTTGTAGGATCACCACCCAAATCCACAGATCCTAACTGGCCCACACAGCACTGGAAAAAGATACCTTATAGACCAAGTTTCCTGCCAAAAGTCCTCCAAATTTGAACTCCAAATTCAGCTACTCCCTTAACACAAATGAGAACACTTTGGCCCACTGAGAGAGCTTCACTACTGTTGGGCCACAGAGAGCTAATTGAACTTTTTTAGAAACCCTCCAACACTCAAGAAAAGGACACCTTTTGAAAAAAAAATTATTTTTATTGGAACTCATCTGAACATCAGATATACCTGGTGTTGGTTAGCAAGAACCGTTTGTACATTTGATATTGATGGTGCCAAAACCAAAACAGTGACTGGACATGATGGGGAGAGATGGTGAGAACAAAAACCTGATTTTGGAGAGGAAAATTAAAGCCAGTCAGATTCAGAGAAGATGCAAAACCTGGTACAACAAAATCCTTTTACAAAATATAAATTTATTAGGAAAACCTGGAAAGGTCATTAGAGAACAGTAAAGAAAGAGAAAAGGAGGCCAGCAGGAAGAAGGCAGAAGGAATGGGAGAAAAAAAAGAGAAGACGAAGATGAGAGAAGAAAATATAGTGGAGCAAAAGTGCAGAAGCTTACCTGCCCGAGTGGCATCAAAGCCTTGCTATGTAATCGCATCAGGAAACAAAGCATGCTGAAACAGTGCTCTACCTCCCATCCATTTGAGTTCTAAGAGGTAAATAAAGAAGTTCCCTGGGAGGGGGGGTGGGGGACAAGAAGTTGCTCAAAACCCCAATGGGGGAGGAGCAAGGGTAGGAGAGGGAAGAACACCCCACAGTCTCATTTCCAATGTTCACTGTTTAAAAAAGGAATAACCCCATCTAACAGCGGGAGGGGAGGAGCGGGAGAGGGAGAGAAGTGGATGAAGACAGCCCGACTCCTCTGAAGGGGAAGAAGGAGGAGGAGATGGTGTCCTGGCTAAGAGGGAAAGAGGAGAAAGAAGAGCAGAAGAGGACAGGAAAGTAGAGAGAAGAGGGGCAGTTAAAACACTGACATCTAATCTAGTTACTATGTTTAAAAAAAAAAAAGCCACATGCACAGCAGGCCCCCTGGGGGCTGAGGGCCCACACTGCTCTCCGTGTGGCCGTGGTGGACACTAGCTCCTGGCCGTGTCCCTGTTCCTTCACAGGTTGGAGCAGAGCCGTGCAGGTACTGCTGTTGCTGCGGCGGCGATGGCGGCGGCGGCAGGACCTTCGGCTAGTCTGCTGGAACCAATGTCGGGGGGGAGGGTAGACAGGCCAAATGGCAGAGGAAAGAACACCAAAATGCCTCATTTCAAATAAAAAAGAAAACAGCAGTCTATACACAGTTGTTTGTTTTGGTTCAGTACAAACAGAATAAAAAGTCGTTGCCTTTGATGGTCAGCAAACACCCAATTCTGAAGAGGAGGAGAGGTGACACCAGCAGGTAGGTAAGGACCCCAGTGGTTGGCAGGGCTCCTGGCTTTGTGGCCCTCTCCCAGGAGGCAGAGAGCACAGCTTTAGGTAGTGTAAGCCTTTTTTCCTTTTATTTAGAATAATCTTTTTTTTTTTCTTTTTCTTTTTTTTTAAGCAATTTCCCCACTCCCAAGTTGGGCCAGTAAAGATTACATGAAAACTGGCACACCTATCGGCTGGAATACAGATGCACCAAATTAGGGTTTAAAAACTTTCCGAGCGAAAAGTAGAACAAAAAAAAGAAAATCTCCTAGCATTTCCCCCAAGGTTTCACTCTCCCGCCACACACACTCTCCAAAGGACCGCTACAGATCCAACTCTGCAAGAGAAGACAGAGCAGTGTCAATCGGCAAGCCAGGAGGACACCAGGAGGAGGTTTGTAGTCTTGACAGGCAGAAGACAAAGCTGCCGTGCCCCGGGTCCCCGGGCCAGCACTCACCTATGTTAGTTTCTTGGCTTTGTTGTAGAGGGAGTCCACTACTTTACTCATGTTCTGAATTGTTTCCAAAGCAGCTTCATAAGTTTTATCTACTGGGGGTTCATCGAAAATAATCAGGACACCCTCCCCCTGGTCCAAAATCCCTGCAAGAAACACAGGGGCAATCCATACAAAGAAGAAATTAGGCATAAAAAGCAATTATGAAGCTTCCTAGCTGCCTCACTTTCTCCAGAAAAGGGAAACGGACTTTTCTCCCTGTCTCATTAGTACATTTATTTCACTTATCACAAGGAAGGAGGCCAGGATCCCAGATCAAAAGAAACAAAGGTTTATGTTAGGTACACCTGCTTTTAAAGCTATACCTCTCCAACCATCGCCTCCAGCCCACTTGCCAGTATGACTGTTACTACTCACCATGAAACTTCTTGTCAAGAATCATCTGTGATAATTTCCTTTCCACGTCGGCCTAAAACCAAAACACATGATTAAAGGGACCAGTATCCCTTAGAGATCACACTGAGACGAAAGCTTCATAGAAAAGGTGTTAGTGCAAATGAATTGGAAACAAAACAGCAATAATGCAACTCCAGCTGAGCTTGCATTCCCCATTCTCTACCAGGAAGCCTGGAAACTTCCTAGTAAGTCTATCAGGAGCAAATGCCACACACACCCTTCCCCCACCACCCAGATGGCCTGAAAACTACTTACCTTGGAGAGTTTGATGAGGCTAGATATGTGTTCAATCTAAAAGGAAAGGCAGAGAGACACTAACACTGAAAGTTTAACTTTTTTTAACTCAAATAAGAGAAGCAGGGAACAGAATAATTTCTCTCTTGAACCTGATGAATGTTGTTAAAGGTCAAGATTTCCTTGCCCCATGCTTGGGATGATGCTCTCCACTTGCCAGGCCATCACTATACACAATACACATTCCTGCCCCACATACCCAATAGAGAAAAAGTTTACCACACGTGCAATGAGTAAAAAGAGAATTCTCAGAACCCAAGCCAAAGGCTTTTTCACAAGCTTCTACCCACTGGCATCGACTCGTTTCCTATTAAAACTAGACCAAGTTTTGGCCTCTTGTCCACCAGGCATACCCTTGGAAGTCAATTCCTACTTTGGACAGATATAGAAAGGGAGGTGCCTACAATAAGAAGGCATGCTAGAAAGAGTCCTTAGGAAGTCTTACCTGTACTCGGGAAAAAGGCTCAATGACTCGAATCAGATTCTGTTCCAGTAAGTTATCATACAACTTGGCCAAGTGTGTGCTGATGATTGGATCATCCCGAAGCTCTGCCCGGTAGTCTGTCAGAGCCTGCCAAAAGAGCCAGTAACAGAAACTGGTACACCTTAAAGTCACATTACACATTAAAGTCTGATCTTCCTGAACAATCTGCTGGCCCTTGTTTACTACATGGTTGAATGAAGTTCCAGGAAATTCAAGGAAATAAAAGCCACGACAGAAATTAGAAGAAAAAGACAAGAACTTAAGAGGGATTAGACATAGCTCAAATGGTAAAGTGCCTGTCTAGCAAGCACACACACACACACACACACACACACACACACACACACACACACACACACACACACACACACACACACACACACACTACCTCAAAAGCTTGAGCCACTATATTTTTGTCCAAAACATTCATGTCAGGAGGGATGGCTTAGTAGTGATAGAATGCCTGCCTAGCTAGTATGATGCCCAGAATTCAAACCCCAACAACACCAAAACTCTCATGTCAACAGTTCAAATCATGTAAATGCCAAGAACAGCTCCACTTCTAAGCCAAATTAATTATGCAAGCATTTTTCAGCATGTATTTTCAAGAATCCTGAGGTTACATAATGGGAAATGCTTAACTATGCAACTAGCTCTTGGAAAGTTTGGTTAAAAAAAATAAAATAAGGGCTAGGAAGGTGGCTCAGTGGTAGAGCGCTTGCTTTGCATGCATGAGGCCCTGAGTTCGATTCCTCAGCACCATATAAGCAGGAAAAAAAAAAAGCCGGAAGTGGCACTGTGGCTCACAAGTGGTAGGGCACTAGCCTTGAGCTGAAGAGCTGAGGGACAGCGCCCAGGCCAGAGTTCAGGCCCCACGACTGGACCCCTCCCCCCCCCCAAAAAATAATAATATAAAATATGGCTCTGGTAAAATAAAATACAGAATATTCCAAGTTTGTTTGCTATTAGTGTTACCTGAATGTCTAAACATAGAACTCTTTTCAAAAGAACCACTTAGAATAAGATTATTACATCAAACATCTCAGATTTTGGGATTAAATTACTTAAATTGCTTACACATATATGTGATGTATTTACCTTCAGTAATGGCTTGAATATCCTAGCCTCACATTAGCTGTAGACAAAGTTATTAAAAGAAGCAGACAGGCCGGGAGTGTGGCTTAGTGGTAGAGTGGTTGCATGCATGAAGCCCTGGGCTCGATTCCTCAGGACCACATACACAGAAAAAGCTGGAAATGGTGCAGTGGTTCAAGTGGTGGAGCGCTAGCCTTGAGCACAGAGAGGCTCAGGGACAGAGCCCAGACCCTGAGTTCAAGGCCCAGGACTGGCAAAAAAAAAAGAAGACACCTCAGACCAAGTAGTTGAGTATTCCTGTTACTTCTTACTTGGAGGCAGGAATAGGCAAGAATGCTTCACGAAGACGGCAAAATCTTGACAACAAATCAGAGACCTAGTCTCAATTAAATCCATTTACACTGTTCTTCTTGATAGATCATGTTTGTTTGTCTGTTTTGGGTGCCAGTTCTGGGGCTTGAACTGGCCCTGGGTACTGTCCCTCAACCTTTGTGCTCAAAGCTAGTGCTCTACCACTTGACATAGCTCCACTTCTTTTTTGGTGGTTAATTACAGGTAAGAGTCTCATAGATTTCCTGCCCAAGTTGGCTTCCAACTCTGTTCCTCATCCCAGCCTCCTGAGTAGCTAGGATCTAAGTTTCTTTCTTTTTTGTTTTATTTGTTTGTTTTGTTGTCATGAGGCTTGAACTCTGGGTCTGGGGCGCTGTCCCTCAGCTCTTCATCTCAAAGCTAGTGCTCTACCACTTGAGCCACAGCACCACTTCAGGTTTTCTGAGTGGTTTACTGGAGATAAGAGTCTCACGGACTTTGCTGCCTGGGCTGGCTTTGAACCACAATCCTCAGATCTCAGCCCCCTGAGTAGCTAGGATTACAGGCATGAGCTACCAGCACCCAGCCAGGATTTAAATTTTGATTTGAAGTTGGTTACTATATTCAGATTAAGAGTTTAGAAAATAGGGCTGGGATGTAGCTCAGTGGCAAAGCACTTGCCTAGCAAGTGCAACATCCTGGGTTCTATCCCCAGTACCAAAAAAGAAAAGACAAAAAAAAAAAAAAATACAGTTAAAAAAAAAAAAGAGTTTAGAAAATAATAACCCCTCTAAAGTTTAGAATAGTGTGTCTATCATTTTGAAACTTCCCAAAGCATAAGGCACAGGTGACAAAGAAAATTTAGAACAGTATCAAAGGCTGAATGCATACATCAAAACTTTGGGCTGGGAAGGTGGCTCAGTGGTAGAGCGCTTGCCTTGCATGCATGAGGCCCTGGGTTCGATTCCTCAGCACCACATTGAGCAAAAAGAAAAAAAAAAGCCAGAAGTGGTGCTGTGGCTCAAGTGGTAGAGTGCTAGCCTTGAGCTGAAGAGCTGAGGGACAGCGCCCAGGCCCAGAGTTCAGACCCCACGACCGAACCCAAAAAAAAATAAAAAAATAAACTTTGGTTTTAGCCAGGTACTGGTGGCTCATGCCTGTAATCCTAACTACTAATCTCGCCTAATTCAAGTGGTAGAGCACTAGCCTTGAGCAAAATAAGCTTAGGGACAGTTTGCAGGCCCTGAATTCAAGCCTCAGAACCAACACCAAGAAAAAAGACCTGTTTTGCCAAGTAACAGTGATACTTGATGTCTATAATCCTACTCAGGAGAATGAGATTTGGAGGATTAAGGTTCAAAGCCAATGAACAGAGAAATCTTAACACTCCATTTTCAATTAACCAGCAAAAGACTGGCTGAAGGCAAGACTCAAATATTAGAGCACCAGTCAAACAAGCTGAGTAATACAAGGTCTTAAGTTCAAACCTCAGTACCAGCAAAACAAAACAACCACAGAAATGACTTTTTGAGAGGTGAAGAAATACCTACAGTTGTGCTGAGTCGAATAAGCAGTAGGCCTAACATCAAATCACTCTGTATTACTGGCTGCATGATTTACAACATACACGGAATGAAGGTAATAGCTTTATTGTGGAAAAAAAAAAAGATGACATAGAATTTTTTTTTTTTTTGGGTCCGGTCGTGGGGCCTGAACTCTGGGCCTGGGCACTGTCCCTCAGCTCTTCAGCTCAAAGCTAGCACTCTACCACTTGAACCACAGCGCCACTTCCGGCTTCTTTTTATTTATGTGGTGCTGAGGAATCGAACTCAGGGCCTCAGGCATACAAGGCGAGTGGTCTACCACTGAGCCACCTTCCCAGCCCGACAAAGAATTTTTTGAACTGCAAAGTATTACATGTACACGATACTTACAAGATCATCTCAACAACCTTCATGTACAAAACTAATGACCTATCTCTTGGGTTTGATACTGTACTGGGTGAAGGATGTATGGGGTTGCCTTACATTATCTTTACTTACTTCAAAACTTAAAAGTCCCTCTCCTCCACCCATTCCCTACCAATCAATACCATACTCACCTTTTCAAAATCTGCCAGCGATCTGTTTTTGCTAGCCTGAGCCACACATTTTAATGCTTCTGTCTAAGAATAAAAAGATAAATCATGAAAGTGATCTATTCAGTGTACTCACATACACCCAAAACCTCCTAACAGTTTGGTATGTCCACACAAAATCTGCTATAAAGAATCCACCCCACCACCATTCTTTTTCAGAGACCTGAGAAGAAATGCAAGTATTGAATATGATTACACGCAAACCAGTTTCTCTTTGAGACATGAAGTGACTTAAATGGAAGATTTCCAAAAAGGCAGACCTTAATATAGCATTCTCCAGCAGGGACAAGCTAAGAGAAAATGGCAGAAGAACTGTGATTTTCTTCCCCTTCCTTCAAGAATCCTTATCTACATACGCACCCAACTATTCCTACCCCAAGACCTACTTATACTTTATTTTTTTTTTTTGGAGGGGAGGGGGGTCTGGTTGTGGGGCCTAAACTCTGGGCCTGGGCACTGTCCCTCAGATCTTCAGCTCAAGGCTAGCGCTCTACCACTTGAGCCACAGCGCTACTTCTGGCTCTTTTCTTTTTGCTTATGTGGTGCTGAGGAATCGAACCCAGGGCCTCATGCATGCAAGGCAAGCACTCTACCACTGAGCCACCTTCCCAGCCCCAACGTACTTATACTTTAATCAAGATTCATTCTACTAGACCTGATATAAGGCACTGTGAGATCTATTTTTATTATATTGGAGGCATTAATATTCTATACATTACACTTGAATAGTATAACTCTGAAGTGTTAAGAAGTACATAAGGGCAATATCTAAGCTCATTATAAATAAGACACACAAGCTATCAAATCTCCACTCAGCAAGAAATGTTAACACCCATATTTCTAGATTAGCCTAGCTCCTGCTTAAAACCGGTCATTGAGGTACAAAGGAGTAGGAACTTCTCTGTGTTGGTCTACATACTTAAATAGAGCTGGTATGTAGCAACCCAAGTGGTAGAGTGCTAGCCTTGTGCAAAAAAGCTCAGGAACAGCACATACACTGAGTTCAAGCCCCTGGACAGACACCAAAAGATTTAAAAAAAAAAAAAAAAAGCATTAAGGCCAGCTCTAGAGAAGGAAGAAACCAAAAAGAAATCATCTTTTATGGCATTCCTACACAGTTATAGTAGGAAGGCCGATCTGTCAGGTTAGAGACAACAACATGTAAAATTCAGAAAGATCTTTTTTTTTTTGGTCAGTCATGGGGCTTGAACTTAAGAGCCTCGGTGCTGTCCCTGAGTTCTTTGGCTCAAGGATAGTGCTCTACCACTTTGACCTACAGCACCAGTTCCAGTTTCCTGTTGGATAATTGCAGATAAGAGTCTTGAGGACTTCCCTGCCCAGGCTTTGAACCATGATCCTCAGATCTCAACCTCCTGAATAGCTATCATTACAGGTATGAGCCATGGGCACCTAGCCCCAGAAAGATTACTTAGCTAGTGTTCATCAAGCAAAAGGGGATAGTACAGACATCTGAGTCATTACCTTCACAACTGCTTTTTCTCACAAGTCATACTCATATACCTACCACAACAAGGACTGTAAATCATCAAGGGTCTCTTTTTGTACCATACTCAAAACTCAAAACATGAATAGAAGTATAGTGAGCTGAGAAATCACTGGAATAGGTCTCAAAATATATTTTCTGCATCAAGTAATCTAACCTCTCTAAAGCAACCTGTGCATCAGATCTAATTAGGCTCCATACTCAAGAATCAAGATGTGGGTCTGGGAAGGTGGCTCAGTGGTAGAGCGCTTGCCTTGCATGCATGAGGCCCTGGGTTTGATTCCTCAGCACCACATAAGCAAAAAGAAAAAACTCGGAAGTGGCGCTGTGGCTCAAGTGGTAGAGCACTAGCCTTGAGCTGAAGAGCTGAGGGACAGTGCCCAGGCCCAGAGTTCAGGCCTCACGACCAGACCAAAAACAAAAAACAAAAGAGGGGCTAGGAAGGTGGCTCAGTGGTAGAGTGGCTCAAATGGTAGAGTGCTAGCCTTGAGCTGAAGAGACAGCGCCCAGGCCCAGAGTTCAGGTCCCACGACTGGACCCAAAAAAAAAAAAAAGAAGATGTCATATTCTTCACAGGTTAAATTTGCAAGACAGGTTCATGGAAGGTAAATAGATATTCTAGTCAAAGCTAAATGCTACCAGATTTATACCACAGTTCATTTCTATGCCATCCATAAGAGTGCCAACTAACTATCTGGGACCAGCATCTAACAGTACAGGAAACACACTGGAGGGGTTCAGGGTAAGAAAGCAAGAAGGGGGAGAAAAGGGTAGAAGGGAGATCTGAAGAGCACTCAAATATGATTCTGACAAGTTGGTTGCAGAGCAGAACTGCATTTATGGTATTCCATACCTGCCTCCCTGCATAACGAAGTGCAAGCTTTCCGCTCACCAAAGCCTGGACATCTTCTGGGCTAGAAGAAAAGAAATACTTGGTCAGTGACTCCAGTTATGATACTAAGCAAAAGTTTAGGTAAATTTCTTTTTACCAGAATTTCACTGTGAAGGCTACCCATAGAGAAAATACTTGGTCAATGGCTCCAGTTATGATCCTAAGCAAAGGTTTAGGTAAATTTCTTTTTACCAGAATTTGACTGTGAAGGCTACCCATAGAGAAAATCAGCCCAAATCCAAAACCTATAATTGCAGAAGCGAGGCCTTTTTTTTTTTTCTACTCTAGACTACAACTTAGCAATAAAAAGCAAAAAAACAGAACACTTAAAAGTTAAAAAGGAAGCCCAACCAAACCTACCAAAAGCAACAGATCCAATAAGACTTTAAGAACATTCAAGTCAAAAAAAAGAACATTGAAGTCAAATCCCGGTCTAAAAAGTCTTATTAAAACATACCTGGGTGGGGAGCATATCTCAGTTGATAGAATACCTGCCTATCCTGTGTAAGGCTCTGGGTTCAATCCTCAACACTGGGGGTGGTGAGGAAAACACAACCCCTAATCCAAAGATTTTAAGAGCCCCAGTCCATTAGATTTCATTTATCCCCAACCGAATTTGAATGAGTCAATAGAACTCTTAATAATAAGACCTGTCGTATTTTTTGTCGTGTACTTTCTCAAATATCTTAGTTCTGTCCTCCCCGCCGTTGGTGGCCCACTTGGCACTGGTCTATCAGCTGTTTCCTGACCTGAAGAATGAGCAAATTCTCTAAGAGGGGCTAAGAAAGGAATTTCCAAAATTCATCTCCCAGAATCTGAAAGATTAGCAAATAAAAATGCTCTAGAATTCCTTTGAAGCCCCTACTCTAACTCAGCCAGCTCCAACTATAAAACTGGCCAAATTTCTTTCCCAAGCCACCTCTGCCATAGCAGACAGACTTAATCGAAGGACTAGAGCTCATATATGCCAGAGTTAATGTGCACCTACGTGTTGAGCATGATTTTGCACAGCAACATGTACTTCAGAGATGTGATGGCCTTGGGGCTATCGATGGAATCATAGCCCTCAAATGCCTCATAGAAGTATGAGTATGCAGTTTTCCAGTCCTTCTCCTCTGCTGCATGGATAATACCTGGGCATTGAAAAGAAAGTAGTAAGAACCATATAAAACAACAGAACCATAAATGATCAGCGCTGGGAGCTGGGCACCAGTGCCTCATGCCTATAATTCTAACTACCTGGGAAGTTGAATTTAGGAGTATTGTGGCTCACAGCCAGTCCAGGAAGAAAAGATCAAGAGACTCATCACTACCCAACTAATAGCTAGGAGCAATGATGCATGCCTGGCATCCCAGCTACATAGGAGGCTGAGATTGAAGGACTGTGATTATACCTTAACTCAGACAGGAGTCTAATCAAACTCCATCTCCATAAAGAAGCTGGGTATGGAGGGAAGTAGAGAAGGGAAGGGATAGTAGGAGAAAAACAAAGGAGGGGGTAAAAATGCCCAACAAGAAATGTATTCATTACCTAATGATGTAACTGTACCCTCTCTGTTCAGCACTATGCTATCATTTCAGTAACAAGAAAAAATACTAAAATAGGTGGATAATAGTTCAGGCATGTATATGCTAGCAGAAGCAAGACCCTATCTCAAAAATAGCCAGCACAACAAAAAAGGACTGGAGGCAGGGCTCAGGAGTAAGAGTACCTGCCTAACAAGCAGAAGACCCTGAGTTCAAGCTCCAAAACTATAAAGGAGGAAAAAAGAAAAAAGAAGAATTAAAAAAAAAAGATCAAGCCGGGCGCTGGTGGCTCACGCCTGTAATCCTAGCTACTCAGGAGGCTGAGATCTGAGGATCGCGGTTCAAAGCCAGCCCGGGCAGGAGAGACCGTGAGACTCTTATCTCCAATAAACCACCAGAAAACCGGAAGTGGCGCTGTAGCTCAAGTGGTAGAGTGCTCGCCTTGAGCAGAAGAGCTGAGGGACAGCGCCCAGGCCCAGAGTTCAAGCCCCATGACCGACAAAAAAAAAAAAAAAAAGATCAGAGCTGAGAAGTACCTTAGAAATCTTCCCCAACTGATGAAGTCAAGTGAGGATAAAGGAACTGCCAAACTCACAGCCAAATAGTAGTAAGTGCTAAGATTAGAACCCTCTCACCTCAATGTTATATTCTAATATTAAATTCCCCAAAGGGTTCAGAGTCTCAAAGGGGATGCTAGAAATAATAACTATTACTATAATCCACAGTATAGCTGGGCATGATACCTAAAGCCTGTAATCCCAATTATTTCAGATGAAAATGAAAGACTGTTTCAATGCCAACACCAGAGAAAGAGCAGTTCTCAAGACTCCATCTCAACCAACAGCTGGGTGTAGTGGCACACTGGAACACAAAAGTTAACAGGATCATAGCCCAGGCCAGCTCTGGAATAAACCAAGACACTATCTTGAAAATAAACAATGCAGCAGGGCGCTGGTGGCTCACGCCTGTAATCCTAGCTACTTAGGGGGCTGAGATCGGAGGATTGCGGTTCAAAGCCAAAGCCAACCCGGGCAGGAAAGTCCAGGAAAGTCCGTGAGACTCTTATCTCCAATAAACCAGCTCAAGCAGTAGAATGCTCGCCTTGAGCTGAAGCGCGCCCAGGCCCAGAGTTCAAGCCCCACGACCGACCAAAAAAAAAGAAAAGAAACAATGTGGAAATATGGGTTGGAGGTGTGGTTCAGGGGTAGTAGGGTAGTGCCTGCTTAGCAAGCATAAGGCCCTGAAATACACCAAAAAACAAAACAAAACACCCAAAATGTAGTATAACACCCTTTCCTCATGCTTCTTCCCATAATCCTACTCTTTGCTATCACTGGAGCCCTTGGAAAGGGTCATGTTTACCCTTAGACTGCTTGAATGACCTATTTTAATAACAATAAAAAAGTTTTTCTAAGTTTGGCATTTTAATGCGGAAGCAACTCTAACATCTTTTATTTTTACTTCAAATACTTAGCATTTATGGGTATGCTTCTTTTTCTAGAAATAAACAGTGTACAGATCTCACATAATACCAAATCCATAAACTTAATGATACATAGCTAAGTAGGGTTCTTTTGTTTTATGCCAGTCCTGGGACTTGAACTCAGGGCCTGGGTGCTATCCCTTAATTTCTTTTGCTCAAGGCTACTCTACACCTTGAGCCATAGATCCACTTACAGGGTTTTCTGGTGGTTTATTGGAGATAAGAGTCTCACAGACTTTCCTGTCCAGGCTGGCTCGGAACCTTGATCCTCAGATTTCAGGCACCTGAGTATCTAGGATTGTAGGCATGAGCCAACTGAGTATCTAGGATTATAGGCATGAGCCACTGGCACTTGGCCCAAATAGCATTCTTTTATTTTATTTTATGGCAGTGATGGGACTTGAATTCAAGGCCTAATGCTTTCACATAGCTTTTATGCTCATGGCTAGCATTCTACCAGTTGAGCTACACCTTCAGTCAGGTACTTTGTTGGATAATTGGAGAAGGGGGGTCTCAAAGATGTTTCTGCCTGGGCTGGCTTCAAACTGAAATCCTATAGGTCTCAGTCTCCTGAGTAGCTACTACTTAGTATTTCATTAGAACGGTACCATAATTCACCTCACTAATCCTCTCCTGTTTATAGACACTGCATTGCTCACAATGAGTTAACTCTAAATGAATGTATTACCTGAGATAATATAAAAATGAACATTTCAGCTTGAGAGGCTAAGATTTAGTACATCTGAATTAAACTCTAACTCTGTCCTGGCTCCTTCTCAAATTAGACACATTGTTTCCCAATCTTCTTCACATCAAGGTACACACAGAAAGTACACAGCACACAATAGAACTAAGCTCCTTACCCATTATCCCAAGAAGTCAATATTTAATCCACCTGTAGCAAATTTGTGGCAAATGGCATGCCAGTTGCGAACTTCTGAACCAATAACCAAGTTAAGCCCTTTTACCCTGCCTTTGCACAAGAGCTCTCATTTTGAGACTAATCAAATCCTTTTGTTCTACTACAGTCCTTAACTAAAGATGCCTGGTGGAAAATGTGCACCTTTCTATAATCAAGAAAAGTTCCTTTGGGCTGGGAAGGTGGCTCAGTGGTAGAGCGCTTGCCTTGCATGCCTGAGGCTCTGGGTTCGATTCGTCAGCACCACATAAGCAAAAAGAAAAAAGCCAAAAGTGGCGCTGTGGCTCAAGTGGTAGAGCACTAGCCTTGAGCTGAAGAGCTGAGGGACAGCGCCCAGGCCCAGAGTTCAGGCCCCACAACCGGACCCAAAAACAAACAAACAAACAAACAAAAAGTTCCTTTAAGATCCTACAAACTGCCGGGCGCTAGTGGCTCACGCCTGTAATCCTAGCTACTCAGGAGGCTGAGATCTGAGGATCGCGGTTCAAAGCCAGCCCGGGCAGGAAAGACTGTGAGACTCCTATCTCCAATAAACCACCAGAAAACCGGAATTGGCGCTGTAGCTCAAGTGGTAGAGCGCTCACCTTGAGCTGAAGAGCTGAGGGACAGCACTCAGGCCCATAGCTCAAGCCCCATGACCGACAAAAAAAAAAAAAAGATCCTACAAACTATTAATGTTGCCCAGCTAAATGAGACATAACTTTATTTTCCCATTTTTCCCAGCGAGGAAAGAATTAGCTACAACCAAAATAACCAGTTAGAAAAGGGTTAAAAAAAAAAAAGTGAGCTGGAATTGGTATAGCAATTAGGAAGTTGAGGCAGAATTTAAAGTCTGAAGTGGTTCTACACTACATAGTGGGACTAGGAACTAAGTTTGTTGGGTGGATAGGTGGTGGGTTCGGCAGGCCCAAAGGCTGAGACAAAACTTTAATGGTTTTTTTCAAATGCATTAGTAAATAAACAATACAGCAGCACTAGGAATATCATGGTTGTTATATGAGGTTTATTTTTTAAAATAAAAACTAGAATGTCAGCTGACTGCCAGTGGCTCACACCTATAATTCTAGCTACTCAGGAGGCTAAGATCTGAGGATAGAGATTTTATTTTTATTATTTTTTTCCCATCCCAGGGCCTGGGCTCTGTTCCTAACTAAGCCTCTCTGTGCTCAAGGCTAGTGCTCTACTACTTGAGCCACAGCGCCACTTTTGGCTTCCGTTTATGTGGTACTGAGGAATCGAACCCCGGGCCTCCTGCATGCTAGGCAAGCACTCTACCACTAAGCCACATTCCCAGCCCTGAGGATAGGGAATTTAAGCCAGCCAGGGCAGTAAAGCCCATGAGGCTCTTATCTCCAATAAACTTTAAAAAAAAAAAGCCATAAGTAGAGCTGTGATAGTACCCAGGACCATCTCACACACATGCACATACACTAAACTGTCACTAATTCAATCCAAACATTAATGAGAGCCTGCCATGTGCTAAGTAAGCATGGAAATAACTACTATACAAAACAGACATGGCAATATCTCCAAGAGCACAGAGTTTGGGGGAAAAGATGGTCACTAAAGCAGAAGAGATGAGTACCATAATGAGCATAAAAGAAAACATCTTTGGTTACTAAGTTCAAAAGCAAAACAGAAAGCAGAAAGAAAGGTGCTCAAAGGAGACACCTAAGCCAAATGCAGGATACACAGGAACTGGCCGAGGGAAAAGGGTGAATGCAGAATTTTAAGCAAAGAAGATAAAACATACAAAGAAACAGAAGTAGGGTATAACATAGAGCATCCAGAGCATAAAGTCAATTAATGACTATGAGTGAAAACCAGAGATGAAAAAGAAAAGGAAAGGACATACTCCATGTTAAATTATTAACATTTAGATTGGGAAACATGAAAACCATAGGAAATTTTTTACATGTTTTTTTTTCATGGTGTTAAGGATTGAACCCAGAGCTAAGCAAAGTAGCTCTTGCTACTTTCTATGTTTAGTGTTGAATATATTGGGAATTAGACCCACCAGTGGAGAATTTTAAGAGTTACAAGTTTATAGACTTTTGTCTCAAAAAAATGACACTGCGGGGCTGGGAAGGTGGCTCAGTGGTAGAGCGCTTGCCTTGCATGCATGAGACTCTGGGTTCGATTTCTCAGCACCACATAAGCAAAAAGAAAAAAGCCGGAAGTGGTGCTGTGGCTCAAATGGTAGAGTGCTAGCCTTGAGCTGAAGAGCTGAGGGACAGCGCCCAGGCCCAGAGTTCAGGCCCCATGACCGGACCCAAAAAAAAAAAAAAAGACACTGGAAGCTAAATGTCAGTGGCTCAGCCCTGTAATCCTACCTACTCAGGAGGCTAAGATCTGAAGAGCACAGTTTGAAGGCAGCCTCAGAAGCAAAGGCCTTGAGACTTTTATCTCCAATTAGCCACCAAAAGGCCAGAAAGAGAGCTGTGGCTAAAGTAATAAAGCACTAGCTTTGAGCACAAAAAAGGTCAAGAATAGCGCTCAGGCCCTGAATTCAGGCCCCAGATCCTTATTTTTAAAAAAATAAAGCTGGGCACAGGTGGCTCATCCCCATAATCCTAGCTACTCAGGAGGCTGAGATCTGAGGATCACGGTTCAAAGCCAGCCTGGGCAGGAAAGTCTGTGAGACTCTGATCTCCAATTAACAACCAGAAAACTGGAAATAGTGCTGACACTCAAGTGGTAGAGAGCCTGCATTGAACTGATGAGCTCAGGGACAGCACCCAGGCCCAGGGTTCAAGTCCCAGGACCAACCAAAAAAAAAAACCACTGGAGTCAGAGAAAAGAATGGATTAAAAATGTGGTTAAGGACAGTTAAACCAATAAAAACAATTTCCAATGGGCCTTAATTAGAGTGATCTGTAGAGACTGATTGATATGAAACTGATCAGGTAGGAGGAATGACTGAGAGAAGTCAAAATTACTCCCCAAACGAAAAACTATCAATATTGTAGTAACTATCAATATATTTTACTGCAGTTAGGGATTTAGCTCAGTGGAAAAGCACTGAGTTTAGTCCTCAACTCTGGGGGGGAAAAGCTATAAAATATATTTTACCATGTTCTGACAGAATAAGGATGATATGTATGAGCTTTCCAGAAGTATTTATAAACAATATAAAAATTGATTTTAAAAAAATAAAGAAAGAAATAGCTAGGCACCAGTGGGTCATGCTTGTAATCCTAGCTACTCATGAAGATGAGATCTGAGGATCACAGTTTGAAGTCAGCTTGGGCAGGGAAGTCCATGAGACTCTTATCTCCAATTAACCACCAAATAAAGCTGGAAGTGGAGCTTGACTCCAGTGGCAGAGGGCTAGCCTTGAACACAAGTTCAGGGACAGCACCCAGACCCCCCTCACTCCCCCCCCCCCCAAAAAAAGCTTAAAAAAGCTCTCAAAGAGTTGACTGACTTGAATTATGTAATTCTGAAGAGAAATGCTACCATTCTAAGTGACTAAGAGGTAAATGAAGACAGACTTTTAAGCCTAAGGTAGACCTCTCCAATAGTCAGGTTGCCTATCAAGCACTGGTAAGCATATTCTTTTCCTTTTTTAATAAGCGTATTCTTAATATATTTCAGGAAATTAAAAAGAGAAGCTGAAGACAAGCACTTGTAGCTCACTCCTGTAATCCTAGCTACTCAGGATGCTGAGATCTGAGGATGTTCAAAGCCACCCAGGCAAGAAAGAGACTATCTCCAATAAACTACCAAAAAGCTGAAGTATAGCTGTGGCTCAAGTGGTAGAATGCTAGCCTTGAGCAAAAGAAGCTTTAGCAGGCCCTGAGCTCAAGCTCCAAAAACCCTTTCACCAGTAAGATAACCACTACAAAAACATCCCAGGAATAATAGTATGAGAATACATACATCATATGCTATATCCTACATATATACGATTCTACATGATGTATGAAAGGAATAGCTATGACAGTTACCTGACTGCATGTCCAAAGTGGCTTGCAATTTAGGGGGGCAGTAGATGGCATTTGCTGTGGTTCGAGCAGAGGTTAAGGCAGCTCGGGCTTTCGGCAGATTACTCAATGCATGGTATGTTTTGCTTTCTAAAAGCTGTACTTCCACCAAAAGGGCTTTATCGTCCATCTTTTTCAACTCCCGAAGCAGTTGAGAGCCTGAAAAAGACACAGACATCTATGTTAGCCATAGTCTTTTATTGATGTATTTATTTTATTTTTAATTTTGGTTAGTCATGGAACCTGAACTCTGGGTCTGGGCGCTTCCCTGAGCTCTTCAGCTCAAGGCAAGCACTGTACCACTTGAGCCACAGCACCACTTCCAGTTTTCTGGTGGTTAATTGGAGATAAGAGTCTCACGGACCTTCCTGCAAAGGCTGGCTTTCAACCGTGATCCTCAGATCTCAGCCTTAGTAGCCAAGATTACAGGCAGGAGTCACTGGCACCGGAGTTAGCCATAGTCTTAGTACTATACTATAAAAATCTCATTTGTCCACCCTTAAAACACTCAGGATTATGAAACCTGCCTGAACTCAAAAAAGTTACCTTTAGGGTCCTTGTAAGAAGTAAATATTCTTCTAATATGCTGTCTTCCCAAAAAGAATCATATATTTTATTATTACTATTATCTTCAGTTGTACAATGGGGTTTTATTTGTTTTTTTTGGGTCCGGTCATGGGGCCTGAACTCTGGGCCTGGGCGCTGTCCCTCAGCTCTTCAGCTCAAGGCTAGCGCTCTACCACTTGAGCCACAGCTCCACTTCCGGCTTTTTTCTTTTTGCTTATGTGGTGCTGAGGAATCGAACCCAGGGCCTCTGGCATGCAAGGCTCTACCACTGAGCCACCTTCCCAGCCCCTACAACGGGGTTTTAATTCAAGTCAGATTATGAGTACAGAGCAACTTGATCACTGTCACTCCTTCCATTCTCCCCCCCATCCCTCCTAGCCCCATCCAGGCTCTTTAAGTCGCATGGTGCCATTTTCACATATGTACATTATGAGTATCCACCTGTCCTTCCTCTCGCCGTTCTTCTGCTCCCTTCCCTTGAACCTTTACACCCTTCCCCCACTCCTGCCAAATCATGAAATATAAATGTTTAAGCTTTCCTTCTTTCTAAGGACAACACTAGAGCCAAGAGCCCTATAAGCACTTTCCTAAGATTTCTGCTGAAGGTGTGGATAGTGGTAGAGCAACAGCCTAATAACTGAATCCCTAAGTTCAAACCATAGTACCTTGAAAAAAATAAGATCTTCTTGGCTGAGTGCCAGTGACTCACACACATGATCTTAGATATTCAGGAGGCTGAGATCTGAGGATTGTGATTTGAAGGCAGCCCAGATCAGAAAAGATTCATCTCCAATTAACCATCAAAAAAAAAAAAAACCTGGAAGTAGAACAGTGGCTCAAGTGGTAAAGCACTACCCATAAGCACAAAAGCTCAAGGACAGTGCCCAGACACTGAATTCAAGCCCTATGACCAACCAAAAAAAGAAAAAAAAAGAGGCTTTGGAATGTGGCTTAGTGGTAGAGTGGTTGCCTAGCATGCATGAAGCCCTGGGCTCGATTCCTCAGTACCACAAAAACAGAAAAAGCCAGAAATGGCACTGTGGCTCAAGTGGTAGAGTGCTAGCCTTGAGCAACAATAGCTCAGGTAGCCAGGCCCTGGTGGCTCACTCTTGTAATCCTAGCTACTAGAGAGGCTGAGATCTGAGGATCGTGGGTCAAAGCCAGCCCAGGCAGGAAAGTCCATAAGACTCTTATCACCAATTAACCATCAGAAAACCAGAAGTGATACTGTAGCTCTAGTGGTAGAGCGCTAGCCTTGAGCTGAAGAGTTGAAGGACAGCAATGAGGCCGAGTTCAAGCCTCAGGACTGTCAAAAAGAAAGAAAAAGGAAAAGAAAAGAGATTCGGGCAGGCGGGGGGGGGGGGGGGGGGGGGTAGGGTGTTGCGCACATGTGCATACCAGTACTGAGGCTAGAAGTCAGGATCTGGGTACTGTCCCTTAGTTTGTTTGTAATCCCCATGTGTCCTGGCACTTGGGGATAGAACCGGCGAACAAGAAGTTGCTAGTACCAAAGACATGACCCCAAGAAGGCTCAAGCCTTTTCCTTCTACATACCCAGTCCCTGCTAAGAAATGAAGGACTGTCCCTTAGTTTTTTCATTCAAAGATACCATACCACTATACACTTGAACCACAACTCCAGTTCTGACTTTTTGGTGATTAGAGATAAGAATCTCACAAAGGGCCAAGTGCTGATGGCTCATGCCTATAATCCTAGCTACTCAAAACCATTCTAGATAGGAACCTGACCTTACTCTCTCCCTGTCTAGCAAACACAAGACTATAATAGAAACACTAAAGCCAGGCATGGTGGTATGTATTTATACCTATATTCCCAGCGCTCTGCAGATGAAGGTAGAAAGAATATAAATTTGAAGCCACCTGGACTAGATGTAAACAAGATCTTGTGTCAAAAAAAGTGAATAAGCTATGTGCCACTGGATCACACCTGTAATCCTAGCTGCTCAGGAGGCTGACATCTGAGAATCGAAGTTCAAAGCCATCGTAGGCAGAAAAGTCCCCAGGAGACTCTAATGTCCAATTAATCACTCAAAAAACAGAAGTAGGACTGTGGCTCAAACTGGGTGAGCACTAGCTTTAAGAGAGCTCAAGGACAGCATCCAGGCCCTGAGGTAAAGCTCCACAACAGACAAAAAAATAACAATAAAGAAATACTTAGAGGGCTGGGAAGGTGGCTCAGTGGTAGAGTGCTTGCCTTGCATGCATGAGGCCCTGGGTTCGATTCCCCAACACCACATAAGCAAAAAAAAAAAAAAAAAAAAAAGCCAGAAGAGGCACTGTGGCTCAAGTGGTAGAGCACTAGCCTTGAGCTGAAGAGTTGAGGGACAGCGCCCAGGCCCAGAGTTCAGGCCCCACGACCGGACCCCCCCCCAAAAAAAAAGAAATATTTAGAAAAACATCAACTATTTCAATACAATAGATCTCTAAATTTAAGGGGATTTAAGAACAGATTCTAAATTTAACAGATTTAACTGTAGGGCTTTTTGTTGTTTTTTGTGGTAGGATGTGAACCGAGGGATTCACACTTACTCAACAAATACTTTATACCACTGAACTACACCCCATTTCTCAAAAGTTCAATTATCACTTTGCAATGACAAATTCTATAAAGGTAAACCATCTGAGATCTTTCTTAGAGGTAGATAGACTACAAATGATTAATAGATAATTAGCAAGAATAGTCGTTTAGAATATATTCATTTAGCTGGCTAAGATGTCTTACTAATGTCTACCAGTTTACTTACCCAAATGCAATGCTTCCTGGTACCTCTTGGTATCAAAGTACAAAGACACCAGTCTTGCCTGGGAAAGAGAAAAGGCATTGAATAAAGAAGACCAAAAAAAAAAAACCAGAAAGAAATCAAAGATCATCAGTCACAGAACTGTTACTGTTGAATGTATGTTCCATGATAACCTCAAAATCAGCACAACAAATGATTTAGTCCACAGTATTGTCTCCTACTATTATAGACAATAACTTGCTGTAAACTTTACCATGTTGCTGCTTATTTCTCTGCCCAAAATAGCAAATCTGTCTCAAAACTTCAATCGAGGGCTAGGAAGATGGCTCAGTGGTAGAGTGCTTGCCTGCATGAATGAGGCCCTGGGTTCAATTCCTCAGCACTACATAAGCAGAAAAAGCCGGAAGTGGTGCTGTGGTTCAAGTGGTAGAGCGCTAGCCTTGAGCTGAAGAGCTCAGGGACAGTGTCTAGGCCCAGAGTTCAGGCCCCACAATGGACAAAAAAAAAAACAAAAAACACTCAATCAAACAATTCTCCTAACTGGGAGCATTATCACAGTCTTTTAGTGACTGTATAATACAAAGTTGAAGGTACTTTTGATCAGGATGGCATTATTTACATTCACAATCTAACACCTCGATGCCTAAAATCAGTGCTAACGTGGGTACATACCTCCAAAGCTTGGCGTAAGAAAGTTCTTTTCTCTGATTTGGCCCATTCGATGCACTCTAAACACAGCTCAACCTAAAATAAGGAGAGACACCAGTTCATGTAACACATGTCATTACATTCTTCCAACCAACTAGGCCTTAGAGAATAAAAAAGTTTTACTGTTTTCCTTCCATATTACACATGTTGCTCTATTTGTTGCCAAGTATAACAATCTATAGTATCTCAGTAAGTAATCGTTATATCATAATGAAAAATCAGCTCCTTTTATACACTCCAAGTCTAGGTTAAAATTGTGTTCTTTTGGAAAAGATCTTCCTCTTTGAGAGTCTACCTTTTCAAGAAACATGAATAAGTTCATGATATGAATGGAAATAAAAATATTTTGGTCAGTGTTTTTACCAAACAATATAATAGAAAACATGAGTCCCACATAATCGGCTAAGAAATACTCATCAGTTTCTACCCAAGGGAAATTAAATATTGAAAGTTTAAGATGTTTTGTTGTTATTGTTGTTTTATTTTTAGAGAGAAAAATAGAGGCCTGCCAGGGAAGGCCCTGGACTGCAATCTTCCTCTTTATGCTTCCTACATAGCTAGGAAACAGGCAAAAGCCATTGTGCCTCGTTTTTTATGGGTTGATATGGGGTCTCATGAACTTTTTTGCCCAGGCTCGCTTCAAACTACAATCATCCAGCAGCTAGGATAATAGGAATGAGCCATCAGTGCTCAGCTGTAAGGCTTCTCAAAGTGTGCTATTAAGATTTTCAGTTAAGCCAGGAACCAGTGGTTCACCTGTAATCCTAGCTACTCAGAAGGCTGAGATCTGAAGATCATGGTTCAAAGCCATCCCAGGCAGTGTGACTCTTATCTCAAATTAACCACCAGAAAACTGGAAGTGGTTCTGGGGCTTAAGTGGTAGAGTGCTTGCCTTGAGCTGAAGAGCTGAGGGACAGCGCCCAGGCCCAGAGTTCAAGCCCCACAACCGAGACACACAAAAAAGCTTTTCAGTTAAGCAGACCACAACAATGGCTTCTCATAGGCAATTCCTTGATGCCTAGAAGGAAAGGTTTACTATTTGTAAGGGTCTGGGTTCAATCTTCTTTCTCTTCTCTTTACCCTACATTTCCACCTACCTCATATTACCAACCACTCCTCCCTAGCCCCACCACTGTCCACTCCCTTTCATCTCTGCTATCACTCTTTTTTTCCTTTTTCTTCTTTTAGTCAATACCAAGGCTTGAGTTCAAGACCTTTCTTTCACTTGTGGCACTCTACAACTTTGGTCACACCTGTGGTTCAGATTTGTGCTGGTTATTTTGGAGATGGAGTCTCACAAACTTTTCTGCCTGGGCTGACTTTGAATCACAATCCTCAGATCTCAGCCTCCTGAGTAGCTAGGATTATAGGTGTGAAGCACAGGTGCCTGGCATTGGCCTTCACTTTCTAAACTCCAAGCCATAGAAATGAAGATCCTAATGGGAACTATACCATCTTTAGGACTATATCAAGTTGAAGATTTTTTTTTAATTTTTTATTTTTTTGTAGGTCATGGGTCTTGAACTCTGGGCCTGGGTGCTGTCCCTGAGCTCTTCAGCTCAAGGTGAGCACTCTACCACTTTGAGCCACATCACCATTTCCGTTTTTTTTGGTTTTTGTTTTTCCCATTTTTCTGGTGGTTAATTGGAGATAAGAGTCTCATGGACTTTCCTTCCCAGGCTGAATTTTAACCTCCATCCTCAGATCTCAGCCTCCTGAGTAGCTAGGATTACATATGTGAGCCACCAGTGTCCAGCTAAGATTGTTCTTTAAATGTATGTGACTTAGACAAATTGTTTAAAGCCAGCCCAGGCAGTAAGGTCCAAAAAGATTCTTTGTTTTGCCAGTCCTGGAGCTTGAACTCTGGGCCTGGGCACTGTTCCCGAGCTTCTCTTGCTCAAGGCTAGCACTCTACCACTTGAGCAGCAGTGTAACTTCTGGCTTTTTCTGTTAATGTGGTATTGAGGAATAGAACCCAGAGCTTCATGCATGCTAGGCAAGTACTCTACCACTAAGCCACATTCCCAGGCCCATAAAGATTCTTTTTTTATAAATTTTTCTTTGTTTTTTGGGGGGTTATTTTTGGGGGATCCAATCCTGGCACTTTCCAAGCTTTTGTATTCAAGCCTAGTGCCCTACCACACGAGCCACATCTCCACTTCCAGCTTTTGGATATTAGTAAGAGAAGAGTCTCATGGACTTTCCTGCCCAGGCTAGTTTGAATCATGATCCTCATCAGACTCCTGAGTAGCTAGGATTACAGGAGTGAGCCACCTGTGCTCAACTAACCTTAGATCTTTTTTTTTTTGCCAGTCGTGGGGCCTGAACTCTGGGCCTGGGCGCTGTTCCTCAGCTCTTCAGCTAAAGGCTAGCGCTCTACCACTTGAACCACAGTGCCACTTCTGGCTTTTTTTGCTTATGTGGTGCTGAGGAATCGAATCCAGGGCCTCATGCATGCAAGGCAAGCACTTTACCACTGAGCTACCTTCCCAGCCCTTTAAGATAACTCTTTTTTTTTAGGGGGTTCCAGTTGTGGGGCCTGAACTCTAGGCCTGGGCACCGTCCCTCAGCTCTTCAGCTCAAGGCTAGCGCTCTACCACTGGAGCCACAGCACCACTTCTGGCTTTTTTCTTTTTGCTTATGTGGTACTAAGGAATCGAACCCAGGATCTCATTCATGCAAGGTAAGCATTCTACCACTGAGCCACCTTCCCAGCCCTAACCTTAGATCTTAAAAGTATTTTCTGAACATTTACCACGGAAAAGACATAATAAACTCCTTTAACAAGTATTAGTATATAATTCCTGGGAGGCAAACTACTCTAAATGCCAGTGACTAAGCAGTAAGTAAGACAAAGTAGCTACCCTTATGGAACTTTTATCCTAACCAGGAACAAGTGCTAAACAAGTAAACAGTAAGAAAAGTAAAGCAGAGATTGGGTACTTTGGATAAGGTGATCAAAGATTTGAGATAATACAATGAGGGGCGGGCAGGGGGATGCCCCCCTCTCCCCCTCGGGCACCATGTTAAGATCAAACTGAAACCCTGTATCACTATTTATAGTGGTCTTGTAGTTCACCTTGGCAATAGGTGTGTTGCCCTTGTATTATTTTACTGTACAGTCAATCAGTATATAAATTTGAACTTTATAACTTTGTAACATTTTAAATTATACTTCATTGTATAAAATGAAAGAACTGTATTGAGTAAGTTTAGGATTAGAATGTAAGAAAAAAGATCAATCTGAACAACAGATAAAAAATGTCCCACTGCCAAAATACAAGAGTTATGACACACAAGCCAATATACCAACTATAAGGAAAGTGAAAAACAGCCAGGCAGCAATGGCTCACATTTGTGATTATAGCTACTCAAGTGGCTAATATATATCTCTTTCATGCCTGTAATCCTAGCTACTTAGGAGACGGAGATCTTAGGAGCATCCTGGGAAGAGTCCATGAGACTCTTATCTCCAACTAACCACAAAGAGCCAAAAGCGAAACTGTGTCTCAAGTGGTATAGCACAATCCATGAGCAAAACACTCAATGGGTTCAAGTCCCAAGAGTGGCACCAAAAAAAAAAAGTAAAACTGGTAATAAAATAACAAAATACCTAATAATATTCCCTTTTTTCCAGGAAGATAGGAAAAAGAAGAAAGTTCACTGGTTGACAAAAATACAACATTCAATGAACAATGGCAATGTACAAAGGTAGTAAAAGGGAGAGTCTACCAGACATGAGGCCATATAACAAAGGCCAATAAATCCCACTAATTTTTTTTTTTGTCAGTAGTGGGGCTTGAACTCTAGGCCTGGGCACTATCCCTCAGCTCTTCAGCTCAAGACAAGCGCTCTACTACTTGAGCCACAGAGCCACTTCCAGTTTTCTGGTGGATTATTGGTGATCAAAGGCTGGCTTTGAACCGTGATCCTCAGATCTCAGCCTCCTGAGTAGCTAGGTAGTTAGGATTACAGGCATGAGCCACCAGTGTCCAGCTAAATGCCACTAATTTTAAGGTAGCATCAAATAAGAGTTGAGTATACTTCTACAAAATAAGAGAATTTATCATTAGACAAATGAGGTTCTACCCAGGAAGTAAGCTTTATATTATAAGAAGGAGAAAATTCTGAGACTTCAGTGTACAAAAGATCACCTCAAATAATTACTAGAAAAGCTCCAAGTTAGTTTGCAACTTTAGTCAGTTGCTCATGCCTGTTACATAACCCTAGCTACTAAGGAGGCTGAGATCTGAGGATCAAGGTTCAAAGCTAGCCAGGGCAGGAAACTCCATGAGACTCTTATCTACAATAAACCACCAGAAAACTGGAAGTGGCGCTGTGGCTCAAGTGGTAGAGCACGTGCCTTGAGCTGAAGAGCTGATAGACAGCACCCAGGCCCAGAGTTCAAGACCCATGACGGACAAAAAAATAGAAATAAAAAAATAAGTAAGCAGTTACTGTGTGTTTTTACAACTGTACCCTAGCATCCATACCAGTGCCTAATGCACAGCAAACAGCTTCAAATCACTACAGTATAACTTTCTTGAATCTGCCATTCTTTACTGAATAATTTTTAATTTTGTATGTCTCTTCCTGAATTAATAGAAAATACATCTATCTTTGAAAAAAAAAAAGGAACAGAGGCAGTCATTCAAACAGCTCAAGATCTACTTTGAACTTGTAAATAACGTGAACAGAAACAGAGTCACTTCCGCACATAAGACAGAACAGATGGATGCTCACCCTTCAATAAAGGCATGTACACAATACAAAACATGCCAAGAAAGGATGCCATAAGACTTAATTAGTGCTCATAAGGAGCTCTGTGACACAAGATGAAAGGTACCACAGACACAGAAAACATTACAAAGGTGTGGCAATACAATACCTCAAAGACAAGAATCAGTTTGTGACCCTGATGTAATGAGGATTCCAGGGACCACTGACAATCTCCACTTACAAAGCAAAGCATGGAACAGACTCAAAGTATCAAATGCCCTGTAACAAAGAGAAACTGACATGATAAGTCCTGAGCTGTCCTCCCAGCTGTCTCTCCTCCATAGTACCACAGTGAAGCAGGCAACTGTGAAATAAACTTTGTTCCCTATTATCTACTTTCTGTCATTAACATAACTTACCTCCTGTCCAGTAGCTGCTTCCATATCAAGAAACAGATCAAGAAGAGATCGAACCAGACGAGCTGCTTTAGCCTTACTGATGGAATTCAAGAAAGGGCGTACATACTTCAGGAGTCCTCCAAGTTCTGTGAGGAAATTAATTCAGAAAAGAAAAGTAAACATAATATTGGGACAAAAATACGGGTTTGAAAAACTGACCTACTACCATAAAAAAAAAATCAGTATTAATATCACTGGAATCAGTTTAAATAAAACTTAGAAGTGTTTATGGCATTCCAAGCAGATCAGAGAGTAGCAAAAATAAGTTAAGTATCATATACCAAATTTGTGTGTGTGTGTGCGTGTGCGTGTGCGTGTGTGTGTGTGTGTGTGTATTCCAGTACTGTCTTACAATCTTGCTTGGTTATTTCTGCTCAAAACTGGCCTCACCTTCACTTCCAGCTTTTTGCTGGTTAATTGGAGATAGAGTCTCTCAAATTTTGCAGGCTTTGAACACTGATCCTCAGATCTTAGCTTCACCAGTAGCTAGGATTAAAGGCGTGAGTCACAAGTGCCAGCCGCCAAATTTATATTCTATTCCCCACTCAGCCCTGGACTGCTAGAGTATCAATGACCATGAAACACTCAAATCTATTCCTCCTTATCCATCCTATTGAAAAATAAACAACAAAGTAATTTCTAGAACATGCAACATGCTCTGCTCCTGCCCACTTCTTCATAAACAAATATGATCTGGTTATAAAAGTTTATGAAAAACAAGACACTTTTTATTCCCAAATCTGTCTTAGCAGTCAGTGTTCCTTAAACAGATTTTCAATTGAAGATTCTCTTCTTTCCTTTTCAAAGTACTCTCCAGTTCAGCCTTAAAAAAGTTACATTATTTTACCCTTCAGGCTTTACTATTGCCTTCAACAATTCCTCTTGTATCTGCAAAACCTAACCTTAAAACAATTAATGAAAAAGATGTTCCCTTTTTTGTTGTTGTTGTTGTTGCTGCTGCTGCTGTTGGTCGTGGGGCTTGAACTCTGGGCCTGGGCACTGTCCCTCAGCTCTTCAGCTCAAGGCGAGCGCTCTACCACTTAAGCTACAGCACCACTTCTGGTTTTCTAGTGGTTTATTGGAGATAGGAGTCTCACGGTCTTTCCTGCCCAGGCTAGCTTTGAACCGAGATCCTCAGATCTCAGCCTCCTGAGTAACTAGGATTACAGGCATGAGCCACTGGCGCCCAGCTCCCCTCTTTTTTTTTTAACTGTATTTTTTTCTTGGGGGGGGGGGGGAGGGAGTGTACTGGGCAAGTGCTTTGCCACTAAGCTACAATCCCAGCCCTGTTCCCTCTTTTAGAAGGATAACAAAACAAGAATTACAAGAAAGTCATATTAACAACAAATGAAAGATGTGTTTGTCAAATTAATAAAAATTGGAGGGCTTGGGGCTGGGAAGGTGGCTCAGTGGTAGAGCGCTTGCCTTGCATGCCTGAGGCCCTGGGTTCGATTCCTCAGCACCACATAAGCAAAAAGAAAAAAGCTGGAAGTGGCGCTATGGCTCAAGTGGTAAAGCGCTAGCCTTGAGCTGAAGAACTGAGGGACAGACCCCAGGTCCAGAGTTCAGGCCCCACGACTGGACCAAAAAAAGAAATAAATAAATAAAAATTGGAATGTTTCAACTAAACAACTAAGGAATTATTTTTGGAATTTAGGTTAAAATTACCTTTGTGCTATTATCCCTTCAATAATCTCCAATTGTAGACTCATTCTCCTGAGAACTCTAATTCAGGACAAGCAAATCTTGCCCTCCTGAGAACACCAATCCAGTATCCTAAAATGCTCAACTGCTCAAATAGTCGGAAGATCCAAGAAACTGTGTCAGGTACTAAAGGAACCTAAACAGAGGATAGAAGTTCATCTTTTGCCCTTCACTACTCAGTACTACCTTGGACTTCCTGTGTGTGAGACATTTTCCTATTCTAAAGTGACTCTTCTCCTTAAATTCTTTTTCATATCTATACAAATTTCAATTACAGAATCATAAAACTCTTCTATGTATGTAAAGATGTGTGTCTACGTGAATGTTTTGCTGGGACCAATGAGCTACACCCATCCTACCATAGCTACTGCTGCTTTTTTTTTTTTTAAACCAGTCCTGGAGCTTGAACTCAGGGTCTGGGCACTGTCCCTCAGCTACTTTTGCTCAAGGCTAGCACTCTACTATTATGCCACATTCCCAGCCCCTACCACAGCTTCTCAATAGTCTGATGTAATGTCCCTTTTCACATGGCATTTCCTACTCCGTTTGAACAATTGTGACTTTTTTTTTTTGGTCGGTTGTGGGGCTTGAACTCTAGGCTTGGGTACTGTCCCTGCGCTCTTCAACTCAGGGTGAACGCTCTACTGCTTGAGCCACAGAACCACTTCCCGTTTTCTAGTAGTTTATTGGAGATAAGCGTCTCACAGAGTTTCCTGCCAGGGCTGGCTTTGAACCATGATCCTCAGATCTCAGGCTCCTGAGTAGCTAGGATTACAGGCGTGAGCCACGGCATCCCGCTCAATTGTGATTTCTAGTAGCACAAATAACTCAGAAAACAGCCTATTCTAATGTCAGTCAAACCAAACAATTCTTTTTTTGAAATACAATCTATATCTCTTTCCACATGACTTCAAATATTTAAAAGAAATCTATCACTTATCTCTATAATTTTCCCTTACATCAGGCTAAACATCTCTAGCAACTTAAATGTTCCTCCAACGTTCCAATTTCTAGATTATTGAACTCCTCTAAATATGCTCTAGAGTTTATGAAAGTATATATGATATGTGATATCTAAGACTAAAGAAAATGCTCTAAGGGCTGGGAAGGTGGCTCAGTGGTAGAGCTCTTGCCTTGCATGCCTGAGGCCCTGGGTTCGATTCCTCAGTACCACATAAGCAAAAAGAAAAAAGCCAGAAGTGGCACTGTGGTTCAAGTGGTAGAGTACTAGCCTTGAGCTGAAGAACTAAGGGACAGCGCCCAGGCCCAGAGTTCAAGCCTCATGACCAGACCCAAAAAAAAAAAAAAAGAAAAGAAAAAGAAAAAGCTCTAGGGGCTGGGAAGGTGGCTCAGTGGTAGAGTGCTTGCCTCTCATGCATGAGGCCTGGGTTCAATTCCTCAGCACCACTAAGCAGAAAAAGCCAGAAGTGGCGCTGTGGCTCAAGTGGTAGAGCACTAGCCTTGAGCTGAAGAGCTGAGGGACAGTGCCCAGGCCCACAGTTCAGGAGCCACGACCAAAAAAAAAAGGAAAAGAAAGGAAAGGAAAGGGAAAAGGAAAGGGGAAAGGGGGAAGGGAAAAGGGAAAGAAAAGGTTCCAAGAAAGTTCTTAACAAGAAAGCAAGAAAGTTACATGTAATGTAAGATAGAATATATAGTTTTTGTTTTGAGACAAGGTCTCCAGATATAGCTCAGGCTGCCTGAAAATTCATGACCCCCTATCTCAGCCCCTTGAGTGTTGAGATTATAGGCATGCACCCATGACTGGGTGATATGTTTCAATTTTTCCAGTAGCATCATGCTTTAGATTAAGTCCATTAGGTCTTTTTTGCATAGACAGGTAATTCCTCATCTTCCTATTTTGATAAAGATTTCAATATAACCTTATACTTATCACAACTAATTTAATCTCCTGCTTTGGCAGTAACTGTGAATCTTAACTCTGTCCTCTACTGTACTGAGTCATCCACAAAAATAAGCCTGCCTACTGAAATGGTTTTAATCATGATGCCAGATGCTGACCAGAAAAACAAGAACAGATTCCTATGATATGACAATACAAACTTGTCTTCAGGTTGACAAATGACAGATTCAGCATGCTTTGGAAATTATTCTACTTTTTGTAAATTAGCCAACTACACCTGTTTCAGCCTTGAGATAAAAAGCTAAATAGAGCCGGGTGCCTGTGACTCACACCTGTAATCCTAGCTACTCAGGAGGCTGAGATCTGAGGATCGAGGTTCAAAGCCAGCCTGGGCAGGAACATCCATGAGACTATTATCTCCAATAAACCACTAGAAAACCAGAAGTGGCACTGTGGCTCAAGCAGTAGAGCACTTGCTTTGAGCTGAAGAACACAGGGACAGAGTCCAGGCCCAGAGTTCAAGCCTCACGACCAACAAAAACAAAACAAAAGACAAAAAAAAAAGCTAAATAGAGCTCAAGGCCCAGAGTTCAAGTCCCATTGCTGGCATGCATGCATGTGCACAAATTACACACACACACACACACCATCCCACCCCCACTGAAATCTACAGGTTTTTTTGTTTTGTTTTTGGAGGTCCGGTCATGGGCCTGAACTCTGGGCCTGGGTGCTGTCCCTCAGCGCCACTTTTTTTTTTTTCCTGCTTATGTGGTGTTGAGGAATTGAACCCCGGGCCTCATGCATGCAAGGCAAGTGCTCTACCACTGGGCCACCTTCCCAGCCCGCGAAATCTACAGGTTTTGAAGTGAGTTTGGAATAGTCTGTTCATAATAAATTAAAATCAAACAAAATCATCTGCCCTAGAACTTCAACATTTCAGTTAGTAATGTCAATATCTAATTTCTTCATTATGTTTTCATTACCTTTTGCCTATCCTCAGTTTCCTTCTATTTTTCTACCCTCCATGATTCCATAATTATTCACAGAATAAGTGGCTAGGACTATTCTTTGGATATTAAAGGACAGAAATTGCCAGAGCCTAGAAAAATGAACTTATTGAAAGAGACTATCTGCTCTCTTCTCTCACCTACCTTGGCTTTAATTCTCTCTTTCTGATGTTATTTCTATCTTTTTCTCTTTGAAAATCATTTTCCTTCCTAGAAAAGGCAGAAGTGAAACATGAGCTAAGCAATCTGCCTTCCTCTCTAGTCTCTGCAAGCATTACATTTTCTCTAAACACTGAATATTCTTCTTCTTAACACAACAAATTATCTTATTGCTATTTTACAAAATAATTCATGTTTCATCTTAGTCTGTTTTATATTCATTCTTAAGATATATTCCATTTCTTTCCATTTTCACATGTTCTACATTTTTTAATTTCCATAAAATCATAGTGACATCTTTTTCCGATTCTCATTGGTACTCTACACAATTATATGACCACAATCCTTCTTAGAA